TTGCTCTCTTTCGAGGAACTTGCTGCATTTTGTTGCAATTGCGATTTGGGCACACACTTACAACGGTAATTCGTGTTAACTTTTCGTGTAATGTGCAAATTTATGACCATCTCGCTGCAGACACCGAAAGCCAGAGGAGTGTGTGCCCACCTGAGGTGACAATCCTGGCCGAAATTGGTTAACTCTCGATACAAGCCAAGTAACTTGACTTAAAATATTACTTTTGAGTTGTTCTGGATTCCAAAAACGAATCGGAAAAGGATTCAAAATCTTACTTTAACCCATTAAAATCTTTCCAATACCGACTTTACGTCCAATGTGGCCTTAGTTTACCCATCTCTGGCTTTCGCCAGCTGGGAGATGGGGCAAAGGCTCCTCCTGTGCTGGGCGGACAATCATGTGTGCCAAGTGCCCTTGTCTGTTGGCCAAGAGGACAGATTTATGGCCGGAAGGCAAACGGCAAGCGGCTCGAGAGGTTAATAAAACTTAATAATTCCGGTCGAGTGTTAACTGCAGCTGACTTTAAGTTGGCCTCTAGTTTCGGGCCGATCTAGAAATCAAGGAGTCGTAAAGCAGGTGATCCAAAGGTCGTAAACTTCGAGGCGGACATGGTAGAGACGGGAGCCCCAAGGGCACATCTATCAAAAATTTATTTTTACTACACGAAAAAAATTAAATTATATAGTCAGTCGCTCAACTTGATGAATAAGTAGCCATAAAAGAGCAGGGAAAGCGGAAAGCGGAAATGGAAATGGAAATGAGGAGGGGACGCTGGGAGGCAGCTGGACGGCAGCTGGACGTCAGCATAAAATCAATCTAATTTCATTAAAGTCAGTCAACATAAAAACGGACATCGGTCTTCTTGGCTGCTCCTTGAAGACAATGGGGATGGGGGATGGGTGAGGGTTTGGGGAATTTCATTTTCCAGCTGATAAATAAGGAAAACTCACAGCAGCTGTGGGCGAATTTCAAGGAGGATGAGTTTGAAAACGCTTAGAACAGTTACTGGTTGAGGTTTCTAGTTAGTTGGGATGACTAAATATAATTTCATTGCCCAATTCGGGGGATTAAATGCCTTTAAGTTATGTTGGCTTTTTGTAAGGAGTAAAGCCGTAAAGGGTAAGGCGACCGGCGACCTGGTAATGGATTACCCATCACCGAAACTCGATCCATCAGCCTTAGTTCCCGGTGACTGGAGTACAGTTCGGCCCAAGAGCTTTTCTCCTTTTCTGAATGGGTTTTCCTTACTGGAAAAGGGAGTAAGTTCCTCATGAGCATAATGTAAATCCCGTGTTAGCGTCCCGCACATAACTCACAGCCCGAAACACGAGGCAATAAAACATTTTCCATTTTCCGTTTTCCAGCTAATGACACGCCCCCTTTACAAGCGCCCACTCACATGTGAAGGTGCGTGAAGGCGGGGGCGGAGAGAAGGCCGGCCGGGGTTCATAAATTCAATTCACTTCGACCAGCAGCTGCAGTTGATTTTCAGTGCCAGTTTTCTCCACTTTCCCAGTTTACCAGCTTCCCAGTTTCGAGTGATTTTCTTAATGTAGTTCAAAGGAAAGTGCGGCGCCAAAGGATTTTCCCGCTTTTCTTAAGTGCTGCGAGATCTAATAAATTTCCTTCCTACGGCTGCCAAGGAGTCAGGGTCGCCCATTTTCGGGGGCGTTACGGATTTTTGAATAATATTTCACCTGCAGGTGGGCTATGCATCATGTGTGTGTGTAATTGTCTGAAAAATTACCATGTCTACATGACACGCACCCACGCACGCGCCGCCATTAAATCACATTTTCCCAGGGCGCAGTGGGCGGGGCGAAGTGCTTGCAAAGTGGGTGGCGGTCCTTTCATCCTGCCACTGAGCACTTAAGCTAATAAAACTAGAACTTAGCTCCTTGAGGACCATTGAGATGCTAGGAAGTACTAATGAAATATCTTTGATTTGATTTCATTTATAATTTCCTTCAATCAAAATCTATGCTTTCCTACGGAAAGTCTCAATCATTTAGGCTTCAGAATGGAAACGAGTAGAGCAGCAAAGAAAATGCCCAAATAGTTGACACATTTTCGCAGGGGCAGGCAGAAAGTCGATGGAAATCGCGGCTTTTATTTAACGTTTGATTTAAACTCTGATTAATTCCAGCTGCCAGGGGAGCAGCAGCCCCCTTCCTCTCAACACCTGGGCACACTCGCTTTCGAGTTCCATTTGTAATGAGTGCTGGGCACACGTACGGCGCATTGGTTACACGGCAGGAGACACCGTTTCGGGATACGGATGTGAATGGGTATGGGCAGGTGGGCAGATGGGATGTGTTTGTGTGGGGGTGCCTTATAGGAGGTGGTGACATTTCCCATGTGTTGGGGCAATCTGTCATACGCTGGGTTAGGGTAGACACGGCGGGTATGAAGGCAAGCTGAAGAGGCAAATATTAAGCTAAGCTAATATTATAATATATAGTAGTTAGTCTGGGAATATTCAACCATCTTAAGCTTTATAATTTATAATTTTATAATTTCGAAATTGATGAACAGCACCTTAGCGTATCACTGACTTCGTTTTGGCCACGACATCCTGGCTTCCCCCTGTTGTTTTCGCATGATTATCACTTTGCACGTCCCGTATGCTTTATAGTTGCGTTGCCCATCTGGCCCATCTGCTCCTGTTTATACGCTTTGCGTGATCACATTTATTCCTGCTCCTGCTCCTGCTTCTGCTCCTGGCCTGGTCCTTGGCATGTGGAGTGCCCCTAGATTCCGCTGAGTTGGCCCATAATGCTGACGACGACGACGGTGGCAAGGTCGTAACTCTCGTGGATTTAATGGTCGCCAGGAAGTGGCTAATGCCAAAATCTAATTGCCGAAATCAGTGTACAACCTGAACCTATCCCGTGTCCTTTTGCGCCGTTCCATCTCCTGCCGCTCCTTTTATTATCCCAAAAAGCTGGCAAGACATGCCAAGGCCATGCGCAAGTTAAAAGCAGCTAAAATAGACACCTGGGACAGGGTACTGAGGAAAGGAGTGCTCCAGGAGCTCTACCAGGTGCAGCAGCACTCTCACATTCTGGCATTCTGGCATCCCGGCTAAGTAAGTGCAGCTCAGCCCCAGTTCTTTGGCCAGGATCCCAGCTCCCTCGTTCAGCTGCTTTGGGGGCCAATCCAGTGCCACAGAATTTATTGACTTTGTCGCTGTCGTGTCCTGAGTCCTCAGTCCTCAGCATTTTCTTCGCCTTTTCTGCTTCGTCTTTATAGTGGGGGATAAAAGTGCAACCTAGTACTGTCTCAAGCAGTCAGGCTGTACACTGCAAGAAACAGCTCTAAGTTCAGGCTTTAGATTGAAATGTTAATCAAAAAGTATAGTTTTTATATTCCTTGAAGGATTTGCGAAAGTATCTCTCTTATCCACTCTTTAATTTATAAACTAGATAGCAAACTTCAGTGCCAAGCTGAAGCTTTTGGAGGAAATTAAAACTTAAGTCCAGGCCATGAATTAGGTTCCCGGGAAAACACCCAATCACAGCTGATCATGATGAAGATGATGATGGGAAAAGTCCATCTCGAGCGGGTTGCCTGTGACGTCCTGATGCCATATTTTGTCCTAGCCTGTTTTTCCCACTTTAACGGCCCAGGAGGTTGGCTTGTTGTTTATGAGCACGTGTAATCACTCTTGCCATGGTCCACTTGATGGCCATTAACTGCAACTGCATTTTGTGCATCCCATCCCAGGGACGCCAAGAGTCAGAAGTGGCTCGTTTCTGTGGAGCTTCAGTTTAGTGCGGTATGCTGTCTAAGATACCCCTTAATTAATTTCACTTATATTAACTTGTTCCTAAGATCAATCAGAGCAGAATCCTAGGGTATCGAGACTGCTGATCGGTTTTCCCTGTACGTATTGCTCCTTTGTGTGTTGGTAAACGGCTTAAAAGCCGAGTTTAGGGGCAGTGTTGGCTAGTTAAGTTTGCAATCAGTGTTGCCACGTGGCAATCTATTCAACATTTTAGTGTCGTGTTGCTAGCTTTTCGATTTCCGCATGATGCCTGCCACCTGCAACCATTTCCCATTTCCCGTTTCCGCTGCTGAGAGTCCTTTAACTGGTCTCCTCGGCTTAGCTCGATGACTCCTTGATTGCAGCAGCACTTGCACCTGCTGTCGGACACACAGACTGGAAAATGGGCGGGAAAGTGGGGAAAGCGAGTAAAGGTGAGTGGACAGGACCAACTGGACACCAAACTCTCGGCCAGAAGGGCACAAACACGAATACACATGTGCCGGCCTGGCCAGGCGCATTCCTGTGAATTTTTGTGAATTGAAATTTTTGAAATTTCCCGTCACAGTCTGCACTCTGTAGACGGCCAGACACATTGGAATCCCGTTAATTGCTCCGGGCGGAAGTGTTTTAGGGGAGTGGTCTGAGTTGAGGGTGCCACGCCCACCCTATTCCCTGAAAAGCCTACCAGCCTCACTCTCGTATCATGCTGTTTTTCCAACAACGAGAAAATTGATTCGATGCGATCCTGGCATTTGCTATTTCTGTATCATTTTTAAACAGAAAACTAGTTCATGATGTGGAATTTGATAGTAATTTGGATTATCCCCAAATTTCCCATCGAATATTATGCACATTAGCATGCATTAGACTAGACTGCTTCTGTTATATGTTATCTTGGGTATTAATGGATTAGTACGTAATATACAGAATCTGTCTGATAATAGTAAATATATTTTAAAACTTAAATTTTGTAAAATATCCCCAATAGGGGATTTAAATTGCAACGGTTAAACGTTGGCAGTAACAGACAACTGTTGAGTTAGCAGCTGGTAGTCCTAGCTCTCTCTTTCTGTTAAGCCTCGCAGTGGTTCGTAGGTTTCACTCCAGTTCTTGCGCACTGTTAACAGCCGCACAAAATCACTCATGTTAACGCAGCAGAGCTACTCGTCGAGAGAGATGTTTGCGCGTTGTTTGCTCACTTTAACATTTTTGTAACAGTGTTTTTTTTCCATCGCCGCCGACAAGTTCGTTTTTATTCCGCGTTTCTTAGTTTTTTTTTTTCTGAAATTCGCGCTAATTAAACTAATAATTGTTGTTGTTGCATTGTGTGTGTGTTTTTTAGATGTTGTAGCGTGGAAAAGAGCAAAGCCAAAGGCAGGCCTATCCCAACAACAACAACAAGTGCGCGAACGAGCTAATGCAGAAACAACAATAAAATTGTGGAAACAGCTGTTGAAGTTTCTTTTTCGCTTTTTGCCTTTTGTTTTTTTGGCCAAAAATGCAAAATTAATACAATGCGGCAGGCGATAAAATAGGCAAAAGCGAAAACTAACAAAACAAAAGCCAAAAGGCATCTACCGTTAGGCAGCGCAAGAACTTAAAGCGAGCCAGCGAACGACAAAAACAAAAGCAACAACTAAGGAACGGCAAGAAAAGAAGCGAAGCAAAAAGAGGAAGAAGAAGAGTTTGCGCAGTCACGTGTGCAGTCGACGTCGACAGCGGCCGAGGCAGAGTCAGAGTCAGAAGCAGAGGCAGAGGCAGAGGCAGTGGCAGCGGCAGAGGAACATTCCCATGCGGAAAATTCACATTCGCGAAAAAAATTGAAAAGCGAGACGACGATGATGATGAAGCTGTTAAAGAAGGAGAGAAAACCAGCAACAACGGCCAGCAGCTGTTAGAGAGGGACAGGTGAGCGTAACTGTTTGTTTTTGTTTGTTTGGTGTCCCACCAGATCCTTGATCGCAGCCTCCACCCGTCCCTCTCGCACACACAGTGCATTCAATAAGTATGTCAACAGTGGCAAGCAAATAGAGATAAAAAATCACTTGATTTGTCGTCGCCTCATTTGGCAAAACATTGCGAAAAACCAGAGGAAAACAAAAAAGAAAGGGAAAAGCGAACGTGCATTAGCGAGAATACAAATTAAGCCCATGAAAAAGTAGTACAGCAGGGGGGAAATTAAAAGGATTTTGGATCCCAAAAGATTACCATCTGGAAAACAGATCTGAACATCTTAAACTTTTTCTAAACCTAACTTAAACTAGTTTTAAAATCGATATTATGCGAAATGCAGCTACTTAGTTATTCTCTTAAGTTCGATTAGTGGGGAAAATGTCTTATGGGCTCGGTGCTTAACAAGTGCTATTACTTTGACCGCAACTGTGTGGGTGATGTTGCAGGGGGGTTGACATAGTGGGCGGTGTGGGTGGCGCAATATACCAAACAATTCCATTGATTTTTCTTGTGGGAATAGTTGGGAAAGCGACACTGTAGACATAGGAAACAACGGTCTGTTTTGCAAGACGGAACAATCCGCACCCTTGGCACCGTTCCCGCCCCTATCGCGCTCCTCTACCACCCACCACCCACCACCTCGCTGTCCTTCTTGTTTTATTTGTTGTCGCTTTCCTTTTGCGTCTGTCTGCTGTCGTTGAACTTTTTGCAACAATCTTCGACTTCTAGTTGCCTCCCTCGCCACCCCTGCTACCCCAAGACTTGTGTAAGTAGCAAATTTTTTACCTTTTGCTTTTCCCCCACGGAATTTATGTTAATTTGGTGCTACATTCCCGGCCTCCAGAACCATCGTTGGGTTAGGACTCCAGACTGAGTAATATGTTCGTTTGGAATACCTCGCGAAGCTCCCGAAATTCCAGATCAATTTGATTCGCATTTCTGTTAGAGTTGATCTGATGATTCAATGATTACTACTTGGGCTAGGTTAAACGATTTCTCAACCGGATTTTCAATTCAATGATCAAGTTTAGTAATTGGTGTCTATAGATAGTTTATATAGTAATTAACTCTGACTAACCCCATTGTAAATTTCATTTTGGATCTCAATCCCAGCATTCTATATAAACTACAAAGTATAGCTTTTAATAATACCCTGCACGAGTGTCCTTGCCTCTATTTGGACATTCGCTCGTTTTCCTTTTTCCATTCGAAAGCCTGAACTCCTTGGCTTGCATTTTCCTTGTCCCCAGTGACAAGTAAACTTCGCCATTCAAAGTGCATTTACCGTTGGCGCCTCTATGGGGTTTTTCCGTCATTCAGCCCCCTTCCCCTGCACTGCTCCATTGGTCCTGCCAACACGTGGATACGTGACCGTGTCGGTTTTCCTGCCGTTTTCACCTACAATGTCCCAACATTAGCCCACTTCCTCCCCATTGTGTGCTGCTGTTTTTGTCACCAAGTTTTCATTTCGGTTTTGTTCAAGTCGCTCGCTTTGTTCCCGGCTCCCTGGAACGGCACTTCAACACTTTCTTCTGCTCCTGCATTTTCCCGTTCCTCGGTCCCAGTTCGAAGCTTTCGCCAGGAAAAGGCCAAATTCAAAATTGGAAATTTGCAACGAATAATTGGTTTTGTTTTCCATTGTTCTTCGCCTGCTGGCTGTTGTGAAAAGAAGTGTGCGAATCTTGGCATTTTTCTCACGATATGGGTCAAATTTTGCACTCTCAGAGGAGCGGACAAATTCGACAGAAAACAGCATGTACTTGCATGGAAAACTCGGGCTCGAGCCGAATGAAGTGCATTTTAAGCGGAGCCCCTGCTGAATGCCAACCTCAAATGGCAATTCCATGAACTGAGCTGAGCTCACACGCAACAGAAACATAACTTTGACTCAAACAAAAAAATGGAAAACTAACCATTGACACTAGTTAACCAAACTGTGAATACGCTTGAAAGTATCAACAACCACTGAGATCGAAAGATAAGGTTGGGATTACTTTAGTTAACCAAATATGTTCCTTTATACGGACTGAAAGTATAACAATGCCTATATAGAGGACTACAATATGTTTCGAAACTTTCAAACAAGCTTGGAACTGCTAGAATGTTTCTAATATATGATTAGAAGAAGGGTATCAGGAATTTTCCTTAGAATTTGAATAGTTCGGCGGGGAAAGCAGCTCGAGACGATTTTATTTTTGTTGTGTGGTGGCATTCTCCTCGTTCTCCTACTCTTTGCCTGCCAGACGTGGCCGGAAACGTAGGAAACTTTAATAAAAACATGTCAAGAGCACTTTTTCACCCACCGCAAAGCACAACCACTGCACCTCCCAAATAGAGCCACCATGTCTCGACCATCAGATTCCCCTTACTCTGTTGACAAATTTGAAAATCAGTTCGGGTAGCGGAAATGTGGCAGATACAGAAGTTAGAATCTGTTACATGCTCTCTAGCAAGTTGAGCATACCCTCTCAGTCAACGAGTAACGGGTAGCAGAAGAAAAACAACCTAAACCAAACCACCTACGACCGCAGTTGGCAGTCGTTCAGTGGTTGTTTTTAGACTTGACCAAGTTTATTGCCTGCCATATGCAATTGCCGTAGATTATTTTGGGGCTCTGCCGGGGACATCACCCTCTTTCTGCGCCACTGTGTGCACAGATTTGCCACGCCCGCTGCAGTCCGCCCCCACAAAAGTAGCTAGCCAGCGAAACCGAGACCGTCTCTGTTCTTTTTTTGCTCTGCACAGAAAGAAACCGAAATAGTGTTTGGTTTTCCAAAATATTCGGAAATTTATCAAGCAACTTCAAGGTATTTAGCAATAAACTAAAGGGTGGGTTTAGTTTTTAAATAAGTCAGCTGACTTTAAACATTCTTACAGATCTTACAGACTGAGATTTCTCGCTGTGTGCCTGGAAATGGGACTGCGACTGGCTTTCAAGCTCGCCAGGCAAACGGGGCGGCTACGTGATGTTGCCTCACTTGGCCAATTTTGGTCAACAGTCCCTCTGTCCCTCCATATATCCATATATAGCCATGTATACGTACACGGTACATCCCGCCTGGTGCCTCAGGTGCTCCGCGGCACGAAACTCTTGAGTTTGGAGCAATTTGCAGGGAGCTTCGGGGAGTCCTCAGTGGGGATATATCGCAGATATCGTTGGGGAGCAGGGCTGAGCATTCTTATCCTAGTTGGATTTCAGTGAGCTGCGGTGGTTTTGGGATATGAAAACTATGAAAACCATAAACCGTCTGGTGAAGGGATATTCCTGGAGCTGGAGCCCAGATTATAACAATTTAGTCTCGTATCATTTATCATTTCCCGTTTCCCGGAAAGTATTACTATTTAAAAATGTAATCTCCTTAACTCACCAGGTTGTTGAGTAACCGGCCTCTGCCCCTCGAAATCAGTCATTCATTGGCGTGGCCCTTACTCGAAGTGGTTCGCTAACTGCCCCAATGAGTCCTTAGAGCGTCTAACTGCGATTGACACACGTGCCGCGCCGCCCCTACGAGAGCTCCTGGAAAAACACCCGCTAGGCTCTCGCTGCGGGCGAGGCGAAGCCAGTTTTCCAAAAACTGCTGTACATTTAATTAATTATTTATACATGAAAAGGTAAACGTGCCAGCTGCTTCTCTGGGATATATACACACACGGATACAGCTACGGTTAGGAATACGACTAAGGATACGATACAGATACAGATACGTTTACGTTTACGTTTACATTTACGTTTACGGGGAAAGCAGGAGACCCGTAGCCGTGGCAAACATTTTACGATACATCGTCGCTGTCGACGTCGACATCGTTTTTTGCATAATTGATTAAATGACTGGCCATATAACACGGCAGGTGGGGAATAGACGGGGGCGGATACCGGAAGACGGTAGTGTAAATGAGAATTTACGGCGGAAGGAAGTTGAGCAGCTGCTCGAGATGCGAGTAGCAAGATGGTCAGGAAAAACGGGAACGGAAACGAAAACGAAAACGAAACGGAGAGAGCACTTTATCGGATGCTGCACGCTAGTTATGGTGTTGGTGAATGTTGTGATTATTGGCCAAATGAAATATGCAGGCAATCGTTCTGCCAATTGGCCTCATCATCGGCGTATAAGTTTCCCTGTGTTTTTCCTTTTCCTTTCCTTATTTTTGTATATTCTGTGGCCCTGACTTTGATAGAAGTGCGGAGAAGGAAAACACTTACTTAGAGGCGTGTTTCATGAGCTCATCACTTATGTAATGAGCCCAAATCGACAAAGGTCAGTTTAATACTTAACTAACATGGCTGTTGTTAATAATTTCCCAACCCAGCGAGTTCATTGCCCCACCTATGCTGGCTTTTGTCTTATTTGCCTGGGCCATTTTTCCTGAGAAGCACTCTGTTTGTTTGTTTTCGTTGATGTTCTCGATTTGGCGCATTTGAACTTTGAACCTTTTGGCAGAGACAAAGTCACCCTCTTGCCTTTTCCCTGCCGTTTCCACCTAGCTATGCTGGCTATGCAAACACGCCAAACACCCCACTGGCACACTCCACTCGTTTCCCCCATTTTCCGGCCGCATGCTAATGGCTCATGTGCTGGCATATGTGTGCCTTGTGTGTATCAAGTGTATATCCTTTCGGCGTAGCGAGTGCATTTTCTTGTCAACGCTGACATTTTCTGCACTTCGGCCTTGTTTTTCCAGCCCCCGCCTCCGTCCTCCCCCCTTCTTCTCTTGTCATTTCTCGTTTAATGAGCATTTCCCTTTTGTATTCCGTGATGATAAAAGCCGGGAATTATGATTGCTCCACATTCGTGGGTTGTCACTCGGATTTTCTCGCCAACTCCTGACAATGCACAACAAGAATTAAAGCCATCATTGTGTTAAATATAAAAAGAAATATTTAAAGCAATTTTTAAGTTACCATTTTTTAGGTATTTTATTTTTTAAGAAGTAATGCAAGTTTGAAAGAGAAATGT